GTCCGAAGGCCATTGCTCGTTTTTCGTGCAGCACTGGAATTTCCTCAGTCGCTTCTTCAGGGCATTGAATGCTTGCTCCCAAGCCTGACCACCCTCACCATCTAACGAGGCTGCAGCTGCGAACTGTTTCATCGCAGCCTGCGCAGCTGGCAAAACTTTTTGCAGACGCGAAGGCAAAAGACCATTTCCAAACTTGTTCAAAAGTGTGGTCAACAGCTGCAGCTCCTCTGTGCTGGGAGTGTAGCCAGGCGGACCATAAGCCAGCCACGCTGCAACATGGGCTGCATGCTGCCGTGCGGCTGCTTTTCCAAAGCTGTCTGCTGCCTTGACATACCTGCGAACCACCTGGCATCTCCGTGCATGGCCGTGGAACCTCGCAGCATGGCAGCGCAAGCGTCCTGACATGGTATCCAGCAGCCTAGAGATGCTATGGCAATGGAGGTCTGTTCTGCAGCATGGTTTGGGTGCAGCATAACAAGGACCCTGTCTGCTGAGCAATTTCTGAGACTTATGAAAACCTAAAGCTAAAGCTGCTCTGCACGAACTGAACCTGCAACGGAGAAACAAGTCTGAGAATCCTGAGGAAAAATGTCCTTCTGCCGTCTCTTGCACTATAGCTTTTAAAACTTCAGAACATGTCTCTGATTGGGCTTATTCGGATACAGGTACCCCAGTAGCTTCATTGAAGTACTATATGAGGCTTTTCTGGTGTAGGTGGACTACGCGTCGGTATGTCTGAAAAAATGGCCTAATGGTTAGTAACATCCTTTTAGTATAAGTTGCAGACTGAAACTGAAACCACATTCATTCTTGCCCTAGGATAAGACTACTGTTCCTGCGCTCAAGTCACCTAAACCCTAAGCCTGAAACTCTGAACCCTAAACCCTGAACCCGAAGAGGGAGACGATAACGTCGTCAGAGCGACTGACGAGAGTGGGCCCTGGACTCTTCTCAGGTTCACTGTAACAGCTCATGTCCTTCAGGGTCTTCAACATAGGGTCTTAGGGTTACCTCAAACTAAGGACAATTATCTTGGCACCCTCCCAACACAAATCCTGAGGATTGCCCATGTGAGATACAGAAATGGTTGCTGTGGGGCCTGAGCTTTTGAATATGTGCGTGCAGGTTTCCAAAAACGTGGGCCCCATCTAGTTTATATACCTCCAAAATACCATAGGCTGCTTTCTACCCCCCAAACGGACCCCGATTTGGGACCTGCCCCTTTTTCTGGCCTCAAAACCCATGACCGGCGTTGTGGTAACTAGTAGCTCAACTTCAAGCCCTGATGGCTAAACATCAGATCCTCTCGTAAGGTACTTTCCGAAATACCACTCCGTTCTAATTGATCAAGAAAGTCTGCGGCTCGTTCGGGTGGCTCGTTCAGGTTTCTCGAAACGAGAACCTATGAGGGGTGAAACCAAAATCGGGCCATGGATGATTTCGAGAGAATGCTGTACTCCTCCCTGAATTTCGGACTCAACGAGGTTCGCAGGGATAACAAGCAGCCGCGCGAAGTCAGACTTGTCAAGTTCGGGCACTCCTCAGTACACCCCTGTATTCTGCAAGGTAGGCGTATTCCGAGACACTATTGTTATCGACAATTGTAGTGAGAAAGCGCGCCAGGATACTACCTGGTTATGACATGGTTTTACGGTGAACGAACCTCTGGATACTCTGCAAAAGAGCCTGTGAAGTACCTACCCCTGATTCCGGCAAGAGTCCCTGTGCCTGCCGCTACAGCAAGAACGTGAAAAGCCCAGGGATCCGAAGGGAAGCAGTAGGACACGACCTTGTCTCTGCTGAGGTTTAAACTTTCGGGTTCAGGGTATCAGGCGTTTGTTTGAAGCTACATATTGGGTGTGCCCAATCCAATGATGTCTTTATGGGAAATACAAGAGGTTTCGTTGGTTTTATTCGAGGGCTTTCCTGCTTAGAGTCTCGAGCTGATGCAGGGTCTAAGTCTAGGGCTTAGGAATTGGGGCTTCAACAGGCGCATGGCATTCGGGTTCAGGGCTTATGTCTAGGTTTCAGGTCCCAAACAGTTAGTTCATGGACATGGGGAGCCCTGCGTCCACTCTTTTTCTGGTCAACTTGGAAACCCTGACAGGGTTTAGGGTTCAGGACTTAGGGTTTAGGGTCCTCAACTCTTTAAAGCTTAGGACTACGGATCAGCATGAGTTGAAGGCTTGCTGCTACAAATCAGAATGAGTTGGGTCATTCACTGGTACAGTATCTGCCCTCAACGGGGTCTTATGGGCGACTGTCAATATTTCCCACATAATTTGATGGACATGGGTTCCCTATATTCGGGACTATACTGGACTACAAGAGGAACCCCTATGTCCACTGTTGAGGGGCCCTTCATAAGGCTAATACTGACAATGGCTTTTATGAAGCCGCTATTATGACTCCTACAGTATTACCTTCCCCGATGTGGCAACTGTCACCCCATTGGAATGACCCAACAGATAAACTCACTAGTGCTCAAGGGAGAGTGGGGGAAGTGGATCCCATAACAATCCCTATAATAATCCCTTTAAAAACCTATAATAATCCCTGTAATAATACCCTAAACCCTAAACCCTAAACCCTAATAATAATCCCTATCTGATCCCCATATATACCCCTATAATGGTACCCATATTCACTCCCCAGCTCCCCCTTTTGAGCACCAGTAAGTAGGGTTTAGGGTTTAGGGGGCCGAAAATCCGACAGTTCAAGAAGCGCTCCCTTGGGCTTTTATCAACGAATGTAGCTTCCAATCGACTTATTCGAAGAAGAGAGCAACCACCCCAGAAAACCCAAATGAGCTACAGTCTAAACTCCTTAAAGGGGATATATAGGGGAGTATATAGGGGACTACTATAGGGGCCATGAATTTAAGGGGATACTAGGAGTTTAGACCACAGCTCACATTACCATAAAGAACCTCCCACTGGCTTGCAGTGTGGTGCTTAATTAGGGAGGTGCGTGGAGGTGGATCCTTACAAGAATCCCCATATTATTACAGCCTATAACATCCCCGTATCTACTCCAAGCGTTGTGGTACCCTGACACCCCTTAACCACCAACAAGCCCAATGACACATGGTGTTCACTTAAGTACGGGGCACCCAGAAAGGGGCAGCACATTCGGAGGGCGGGAGGAGGTATGAAGCGAAGTTAGCAGCGCCACGGTCCCCAAAAGGAACTTATTCGAAAGGTTGGACTTGAAGACTGTTTAGAACGAAAGGCAACAGCTTCCACGAAGCCTCCAGGCCTGACACGAAGTTAGACGAACCCAACCAGGGTTAGTACGAACCCGGCATGCTTTGAACGCCCTCAACCTAGCTGCGAAGGTGTGCATTCCAAGGCAGGCGGAGCAGATCATGAACCTGGGGCCTACCGCAACCAAACACAAGTACCAGGGGTGCCCGAACGATGACACGAACCCGGCTCTCACGAATCGCCCAAGATGGCACGAACCCCGCGAGCCCGTCACGAACCCCCACAAGGTTAGACGAACCCCCCAGGGTTGTTACGAACGTCTGGGGAGTGGGAGGGGATTAGCCGAGTCCTGGCGGACATGCGCAGGCTTACACGGAGGGGCTGGCTGCCTTGACGAACGGCTCATGGCGGGAGGAGGGTTAGGCGAACCTTGTCAAATGGGGGATTGTCAAAATTATGGTCCCTATTTTGGGTCCCCTAAATAAGGACCCGTATTAGGCCCCGTATTATAATAGGGACCCAAAAAGGGACCATAATTTTGACAATCCCCCAAATGACGGCGGGCTGGATATCATATGCGCTGCTCCCATCTGGGCTGCCCTGATGAAGGTCTCCCAAATCGGGCATCCAATATACACTCTCACCAAGATTGCTAGGGAACCCTGTATACACGCACCCACCCCACCCTAAACCCCAAACCCTAGGTCAAGTGCGTTTGAAGCCCTCGAACTTCGTACAGCAGCATAGATGGCGGTAAGCAAATGAACGGTCGTAAGCCCCACACTCCTAATGAAGACCCAGGGTTATATAGGGGCTATATGGGGCTAGATAGGGATTATTATGGAATATGTAGGCATTATATGGGGACCCCTGATTAATAAACACCCTCCTTTTAAGGGCCCTAAGATTAGGATCCCTATGATAATTCCTATTTGGGGAAGGGGGTTTATTGAGCATGGGTCTGGGTTAAACCCTAAACCATCTGCAACAGGAAAGGGTAACCCTAAACCCTAAACCCTAAACCCTAAGGGTAAGCATAAACCTGGGGTACAGGATTAAAGCTGAAGCCCTGAGCTCAGAGGTTCTAGGGATATACAGGGCAGGTAGGAAGAAGCAGAGTCCTCCTTGGGGATTAGAATATGGCTTTGGGTATGTTATAATATGATCGGCATATACCCCATATACTATCTACTTAAGGGGCCCCAAATTCTCTCTACTTGAGGGACACTACAGAACTTTGAGAAAGACCCTAGCAAGCCTGCGCTCTGCCTTTTTGTACAGCCTGCCGTGCTAGCGAGGTGCGTCTTTCGTCCTTGCGCCACGCACCGAGCACTGGAGGGTCGATCGCACGGTATCCCGAAAAGAAAATGTTCATTTAAGATCATGTTAGAGGACCTCTACATACAGGTACCCTTCAAGCGGTTTTGCGGGCATGGGTGCAGGGTTGATGGTTATAGTAGCTTCCGTTTTTTCCATTAT